TTTTTTTATTAAATATTTTTATGTTTTACTTTTAGCTGCTTTGGGGAAATATTAGGGGTCTAAACAGACCCCTGATATTTCCTTTTTTAAAATAGAAAAAGAGATTGAGGACACAAAGTCCTCTATCTCTTTTTCCGTTTCCCCTGTTATCAATGAACAGGAATCCTCTGAGTGTTCCAGTTCATTCATAACATGAGAACATAGTGGGGGGAATTTGTCAAAAGTGGAGCAGCTAAAATCTGGAGCAGTTGTGCATGAGAACCAATCAGATTCTCTCTTCAGTTTGTTCAGTTAAGATTTGAAAATGAAAGAGAGAAGCTGATTGGTTGCCATGCACAACTGCTCCAGATTTTAGCTTCTCCACTTTTGATAACTTCCCCTCACTGTGTTCACTATAACTAAAACTATGAATGAACAGGAGGTGATGTAGATCACTTCCCATTCATTAATAATTAAGGATATTCTGTAGTAACCATACCATGTCCTCAATTATCTACAAACACTCTGCAATCACTGACTGCTTCTACCCGCTCTCCTCTCTGACACGTTGTCACAGGAGGCTGAGCGAGCGGTGCAGGGAGGAGAGCTCAGCCTCCTGTGACAGCGCGGGCTGTCTCCGGCCACATACCACTCTGCCGGACTGTGATAGGAGGCTGAGCAGTGTAGGAGGAGAGACACCGGCCGCTCACAGCGCTCTGCTTCCACAGCGCTCGACTGGCTGTCACACTTTCTCTCTTCCCTGCTAGGGGAACAGAGCAGCACACAGCGGGGAGGAAAGAAAGCACGGATGTGCAGCTGTATCGGCAGGAAAATGGCACTTTTGGCATTTAGCCAAAAGTAACATTTTTGGCCGATTTATATCGGTGCATTCCTAATGTTCACCAACATGAAGGCAGTACTTGTGGCGTCAAGGGAAAAGTTGGCTTTTCAAATCAATCCCAGCATAATAGATTGTTGTTTTGTGAATTGTTATAAAAAGTGGATGAGTTATTTTTGAGCTTAAGAAATTGTGTAAATGCATATTAAACTGGTCCTAACAATCTATGTAGATACATTTCTAGAGCACACTTGTGTAGCTCTGCCTCATTGACAGTATCTTGGACTGCTAGTGACGGCAGGAATTAGCAGGAAAAGCAGTTTGTGCAACCTCACTATGGTGACACTATTGAGAAAAACACACATCTGTACTTAAACTGGAACTGGAACTGTACACTTGTGCAGTAATAAGAATCCCACCTCTTGTCCTGCACATCAAATTCATGTGTATAATTGGGATGACAAATATAAAGTTCCTTTGTAAGTTAATGATGTTGAAATTGTCATTTTGAACGGTTTTAAATATAAAGCTGGCCATACACCAGTAAAAAAAAAATCGTTTTTGGAACATTTCTTTTGATTTTGCAAAAGTTTATGGGGTCAGATCAACAATTGCTTTCAACATCAGTGACGAAAAAGAAAATCGAAGGAGCCGGATGGATATTTTTCTTGAGCGAGCAAAATTCTAACCGTTAATGTGTTTTTTTTTGTTTGGGGAAACGCCATTCATTTCCAAAATCCAATTTTAAAACCAACAAGCCATTCTAGAAGTCTTTTGATGGCCTTAATGAGTGATCACACAAAAATCTAACCGTGTATGGCCAGCTATAATTTGTTACACTTATTGGTCACTAAAACTGCATCTCTGCCTATTACAGAGGATAAGTCAGACTCCAACTCATCTGAGAATGTTCCACCCAAAGAAGACTCTTTTGGTTCTGCATCAGGAGAGAAAGTGCAGTCACCTCTTACACAAAGATATCAAACGTGTAAAGCGAATCTTCAGAGTACCAGCAAGATGTCCCTTTCATCCGAGCTCGTGTACAGTCAAGAGTTGAGTTTGCCGGAAGCTGTTGAAGTCATTAGTGTTAAGCCGTCTGCAGGTAACAGTTATCTTTTGTTTGCAGTCATGCAACATACCGCTGACTTAAAAATAATAATTGGTAGATGTGCACAGAATATGTCCAGTGTTAATGAGTTGTTAGGACATGACTGCTTGCAACCTATTTGTGTATTGCCAGTGTTACACTTAGGCCTCATTCACACAACGTATAGTGGGCCTCATTCACACAACGTAGAGTGGGGCCGTACAGATCTGTGTGGTGTGCACGTCAGTATCTGGCCGTTCCCGGGAAGGACAGGTGCTGCTTGTGATTGTACACAGCAGCCTGTTCTTCCCTATGGGAAGACGCAGCCGTACACTGTCATACGCTCACCAGAGCTGCACATCTGTGCAGGTGTCCGTACTCGGAAGCAAACAGGATGGATCCTGTCTACGTCCAAGCACGCACATCCGTTAGGATCGTACAATCACACGCAGCACCTGTCCTTCCCAGGAACAGCACGATATGGACGTGCACGCCGCACGGATCTGTACACCCCCACTCTACGCTGTGTGAATGAGGCCTAAACTTTAAATGGTTACTTTTTTCATGGACTCTTTTTAATTAAACTAGTACATGTAGGAATTGAAGCTCCTCACCATATTAAAATAGTCCAGATACTAATTTATTCCACTAGGGTTAGAGGACAATCGAGTAGAATGACCAATGCATTTCAGCTAAAATAGCCAAAATAAAATCTTTTATTAAGCTGACAGCATGAAACAGTAAGTTGAGTGAAAATCACTCGCCTCATAATTCTGCTTTAAGTCACTAGCACTAATATAAGGTTCCTAGCTGGATGCAGAGCTCTTGGCTTATTTTAGTGGCCAGTTTTGGCATGCAGCATGTGAGAGCCATGCTGTTAGGTACTGCTTTTTAGTGCATGTTCAGTTTGTTACAATTGACTACTGTATAATGCAACACATGGTTTTCAAGAAACACCTGAAAGAAACACCGGGTAGGATTATTCAAAACCAGAACGCACTGTACTGTAACGCAACACACCTGTATGAAGAGCTTTATGGATTATAATGGAAACTATTTTCCCTGCCAGTTAGGGGCACTGTGAGCATGCATTTTAACACAGATACAACATGATTGTGTAAATATGTCCTAACTCGCACACTGTATTTCAGTACCTTAATAACCCACAGGGGATCAAACAGTAGTTAACATCCCACTTTACCAGGCTCTGTTCTGTGATACTGCCATGGCATTTGACAAAACTGCATCAGGGATCCTCAGACAGAGTATGTGAAGGTAAATAAATTATTTTATAGGTGACTCTGAAAATAATCAGTCATGACTGGGATTATCCAAGGATGTGAATGTTAAATATTCATACACATTAAAAGTGAAAAAACTACCCAAGAATACACAGAGGTAGAGTGGAGCTTATAAGGAAAGAGGTTTGGCTGAAAACTGGAGTGAGGGTCATGAAGGTAAAACACTCTGAACCCCTCCAAAAAACAAAGCTGCACAGACAGTAGTTAACCCTTGCTACAGGGAAAGGACAGTCTTAAAGAAAGCTAGGTAGTTCCAGGAAAACAGAAAAGACTGTGTAGTGTGAAATTAGACACATCACCACAAAAAGAAAATAATATGCACGAAACTGCACAGAAGTTAAAAGTAAAGTAACCCTTCAAAAAAACAAAAAAGGATAAGAGGGAGCATCTCCGAGGCAAAAACAATGCTCCTTGTGAAAGGGGGAGAAACCGATCGCCCTTGATACAGTGTTCAATAAAATGCTGCTATAGTAAGTTTAAAGGCAGATCAGTTAATTTAAAATAGCTGCCTCTTCTCAGCATAGTAATGAGAGTAACAAAACTACTGTGCAATAGCTATATCTGCCAAAGGTGTTGCAGAGACTAGTCCGTCTGGTAAGTTGGCTTTCTCATGACAGTGTCTAAAAACTGCTTTCTGGATAATAGTCAATGGTTTAAAAACAAATGCTTGGTGGTGAAAGATAATGGAATGATGTGTTCCTTTTTATATTATATACATAAGTTGTTTGGTTTGGTCTTAACCAGTCTTTATTTTATTTTTTTTAGGCCACCTGAGTAGTTCTTCTCTTTACCCAGTGAGTAATGCACCCTATCTATTGGCAACTTCTTGCTCTGATGGTAAAGTCAGGTTCTGGAGGTGCCGAGTGGAATCGGAGCTTTCTCTTTCTCCCACTGACCTAGAGAATTATGTGGCATATATTTGGGAGGAATGGTCATTGTTGATTGAGGATGGTCTGCAAAATGGAGCTGTGAGTGTTCCCGGCAGGCCAGTAGAAGTCAGCTGTGCCCATACAAACTGTTTGGCTGTAGCTTTCAAACAAGCACCAAGTAAACATAGCACCTCGTCCCAAGATTTTTTGATGCATGTTAGCATTTTTGAATGTGAATCTACTGGTGGCTCCTGCTGGATTTTAGAACAAACCATTCACTTAGATGAACTAAGCACAATGTTGGAGCCTGGCATTAGTATTGACAATAATCTTGTAGCTTACAATAAACAGGATGTGTTATCTTCCAACACACAACTCCAACCTAGTACGAAACATTTAGTTCATTTGGACTGGATGTCCAGAGAGGATGGCTCTCATATGCTGACTATTGGAATTGGTACAAAGCTTCTAATGTATGGGCAGGTTGCAAGAAAAGTCCAAGAACCCTCGTGTAAAGAGAGTTTTGCATTGCAGCTCTGGGACACTGCCAAAAATGCAGCTCAGCCAAGGTTTGTATTGCTTCGCTGTGTGGATCTTGTGTCTTCTGTTGAAGGATCTCTTCCTTTACCCGTGTCATTGTCTTGGGTTCGGGATGGTATTCTTGTTGTGGGAATGGACTGTGAAATGCATGTCTACTCCCAGTGGCAGCCTTTTTCTAAACAGGATTCGACAAGCACAGATTCCTACAATGGAAGCACCCCATCCATCACAAACTTAGTTAAGCAAAGCCATTCAGTTCCATCTGGTCTGACTCCACCAAAGAAAACTATGACAAGGTCAATGACTAGCTTAGCGCAAAAGCTTATGGGGAAAAAAACTGCATTTGATCTCCCTGTGGAGATGGAGGACTATGGACTTTTTGAAGCGGCTCATGCTTTATTTCCAACTTTGCCACAGTATCATCCATTGCAGCTGATGGAATTAATGGATCTTGGAAAAGTGCGCAGGGCAAAGGCTATATTATCTCATCTTGTAAAATGTATTGCAGGAGAGGTTGTTGCAATTAACGACAATGAATGCAACCATGAACGCAGGCTTCGCTCACTTTCAATCAGTGCCAGTGGAAGCACATCTCGAGACCCCAAAACATTCAGCAAACCAGAAAACGCTGACTACACAGAAATTGATTCTGTCCCTCCACTACCATTGTATGCCCTCCTTGCTGCAGATGAGGATACATTTGTTTCCACAGTGGAGAAATCCAGCAATCAGAGCAATTCAAACAAACAAAATGACAGCAGTACAAATGCTGAGAACTATGATGAGCTTTTCCAAGTTCCGACAATCACCTCTGAGGAGCTTACAACATTCGAGTCTGAAGAAGAAAACACAAAACCCCAAGTTATAGACCTGTCACAGTTCAGCCCAACTTACTTTGGTCCTGAGCATGCAAAAGTGCTTTCTAAGCATTTGCTTCACTCTAGCTTACCTGGCATGACCCGCATAGAACAGATGTCTCTGATGGCTTTGGCGGATACAATTGCCACAACTAGCACAGATATAGGAGAAAGCAGAGATCGTAGCCAAGGTAATGACGTTTAGTATTTCATTAATTTTTTTATTTTCTTGTTTTTTAATCTAATATGTGTTAGTATTCGGTTAAAAAATGATCTCTCTTCTAATGGCTAAATACAGTTGGTGTACATATGGGAAAATGCCTTTCTTGCCATAGAATGTTTAGCTCTCTGTAACCAGCCTTGTGACAACCCCTTCCCAACTTCTAGTTTACTCTTCAGTCTGTTGATTGGACTCTATCACTTCTGTCTGGTGTATGCAGAGGTGACTCGGGAAGCTATAAAGCTGAGCCCTCTGAGAATCTTACCTATGCAATATTGCAAAGGTATGTCAGAATTATGCCAACACAGCACCCTCTTTGGGAAGCCCTAATCTAAGCTCTTACATGCCGTTTAATGCAACCATGGGAGATCATTTCACCAAAAATGAGCACTGTGAAGGAGTCAAACTGTTGAAGTCAGAAAACAAAACCTGGGTCAGGTGGTGAGTGATTTTATTCCCCTTTTTTTTTTTGTGCCATTTAATGCTGCAGCAAACCCTATGCCAAATGGTTGAAAACCTGGGTTCTCTGTGCCAAAGCATAATTTACCATATTGTTAGGGTTAATGACCCGTATTAGCCTAATTTTTGATAAAATTGTTGTAGGTTGAGCGTGTCATTTTACACATTTCAATCTGGGTTTTGTTAATAGGTGGTGAGACCCTCGATGAATGTGGGCTGAAGTTTTTCCTAGCTGTTCGTCTTCATACCTTTCTCACTACATCCCTCCCTCCAGCATACCGAATTCAGCTTTCTCATCAAGGTAAGTAAGCTGTATAGTGTAAGGTTCATTTAAGTTACGCTTTGTTAATGGTCTTTTGATTAAAGGCAGTAATTCTGGCTAATCTAGAAAGGCTGATGCATTGCAACTGGAGCAAAGAATATGGAGCGCTTGCCAACATCATCCAATCAGATATAATAAATCAGCCCTAAGCCGTCTGCTATAAACCTCCCTCCCTCTGCAGTGACTGTATTAAGTAACCAATAAACCCTGGAATAGCCTAACATTTTAGGACAACATTTCTTCTTGTGCATACCCCACACCATTCAGTCTGCTGTCATTTGTTTGTCGTAAGAAGCATGTTCACTGGCAGTTTTATGTCTGATTAATGAGCAGATTAAACTGCCAGAAATGTTTTGATGCATCTTTAATAACCCTTATTTCAGTTTAGTCATCATCTAAACATTGGTGCTTTAGAATATGTGATCAGCGCCCCTGCTTTTCCCATGCAGGGAGAGGCAACAGGTGCACTTTAATGGTGGCCCTACTGGCAGCACATGCACTCCTTCCTTCTGCCCTGACCACTAGGAGAAGAAAAAAAAAATATGGGGAGAGATTCCTCAGTGTAAGCTCCAAATTGTGCAATAAACAGAGCTGCTTCCTTACCCACAGGTAAATAGAGTGATAGAGGTGTGAATAAAAAAATTGTAAACCAGGAAGGACACTGTGGTTTTTGTAAGCTTGCCTATGCAAAAAGAGCAGGGTGCTGGAGGGGGTCAACGGATGTTGTTACTGTTGCATCTGAACTAATGGGCTTGCAGGGAATAAGTAGTAATACTTTGAGGAACCATAATTAGGAACCACAGTCGGTATTGCAGTACCAGGCGTTGTGGTTGAATGCATTATGGTCAGGAGGTGCATTTGAAGTGTCATTCAAATGAATGGCAACACATTGCACCTGCCACACTGTAATGCATGGTAGCTGCGTTGTACGGTAGTGTGCGTTAATTGCACGGACGCTTTAGGGGACAACCAATGTAGTAGGGCACTCTGATAGGGACAGCTAATTACTATTTGCCCCCATCAGAGTGCCTTCTTACATTAATTACTAGGGATGCACCAATACTAGTATCGGTGGCGTTAACAAGTATTTGGGTGAGTATTTTGCTCCCAATGCCTAGCCCAATACCAGAACTTCCAGTATCGGGAAGACTAGCAGCGAGTCATTACACACTGCCCTGCTTCCTGATTGGCCGGGAAGCCAGCTCCTTGCTCCCGCATCACCCGGTGATGAGGGAACATGGAGACGGCTTCTCTGCTAATCGGGAACTCGCGTGGCGAGTCATTTCATGCCGCCCGGCTTATCAGGAAGTCAGGCGACAGGTCATAACATGCCACCCGGCTTCCTTAATGCGTCTTCCAGTATCTGTATTTGATATCGGCAAAGTACCCAAAAATGTTTTCTCGGTACTCTATACCGAAAAACTGGTATATGTGCATCCCTATTACGAAAGTAAATGTCAGTATAAACCAAAGGTGAAAGGCTTCCTGTGCCTGTTGCCTGCCTCCATGTACATAACAACTATATACACATTGCTTTTTTACAAAAAATTTATGTAAAAATGTGTTATTTACTATGAATGAACCTTTGTTAAAACTAACAAATATTTATTTGTTCATGCTAATCAAGTTGGAAAACTGTTTGCTGGCAAGTTTGTTTCAGTTTACACATGGAATAACCATGCTATATTTGTGTGGTATTGTGTCTACTAGCTTTTTATTTTCATGCTTTATTTATGCTAATGCCCTGAATATAGGAATGATCTTCCTTTGTCATAACATACCTTTTGAAATGGCAGTGTTGCTTTGCTTTAATATATACAGGCTTATTCAATATAGCAAAATGTAGTAAGCCACAGCAGCCGATAAGAATTTTCAAGTCCTATCTCATTGGTTGCCGTTACAGTACTTTACCCCTTTGTGCTCTTTTATTGAATAAGCCCTATAGTCTGTATATATTATATAGACCGTTCTTAGAAATCAGGATGCCAATATGCCAAAAATGTTGCATGAGATGCCATATTTGTGTTCATTGCAATAAATGGAAATGGATACTTATCTCGCAGGTCGCTTGATGTGTCTGGCAGGCTCCTGAATTCTGCAAAACCTTTTTATAACCCTTTCTGTTGGAAGTATGTGGAGTGTGTGTACATAGTCATGGGATCTGTTATCCTGCACCATGCAGGTTTTCATGTTTTCCCAAATTTTGTTTAATTTTACTGTACTTGTAAAATTGTGTAGCGATGCTCTGTATAGTGTTGTGAACAACAAAAGGGACATAATCTATTGACTGGCCACCTTCCACACAACCCACGCACTGATACATTTGTGCCAGATTCACACCTGAGCGTAAGCTTGAATGCGCGTTCATGCGCATTTGTTTTACACATTCACTGGACGTCCCCATTGAACACATCCTGAACACGTGACAAATGTGGAAAAGTAGTGCATGTAGCAAAATCTGCGACGCGTTCTGATTCTTTTAACTCCATGTGTGCATTTAAAGCACAGAAATGCAAAGTAAAAACGGGCTTCCCCTTGCTCACATTAGAGGTGCTACTATCGGTTTTGCATTTTTGACATTATTCGCAAACTCGCATCAAAGCACACATTTTGTGCGTTTGATGCCCGTACACGTAACCCTCAGGTGTGAATGGGGACTTGCTGTGCTTCGCCACTACTACGTTTATCTTTTGTAACCCTGGGTTTATTTCCTCTCTGTGGTCTGTGACGGACTCTGTCAGAGTTTACAGAGCGTTAATGACCACCTCCCCAAGTGACAGTGTCCGGGCCTGGCAATTGGCAGGTCAGGCCCAAGTACTGCATGCTGGGCATAAGAGAAGAAGGTCACATACTCTTCCATAACTAAATCTACTGCTGCACTGGAGAGAATCTATTTTCAATGGGCAGGCGGTGGTCGCCTGTGATGATCAGATATCATTTAGGCAATGCCACTAATGACAGGATAAAAGCACTGTGGTGTGATGTAATTACTGAACAGTATGGTTTTTAGACCAAAGGGTTTTACTTGGTTCAGGATAAAAGATCCCATATATGCTTGTGTGATGAAAAATAAATAAATTAATTTGATGTAGTGATCCTTACATTGTGGTGTACAGCATATTAAGGAATAGTTTTGAGTTCCACCTTGGAACTGTCTTGCAAATATGTAACTGACGGACATAACACCATTGTGCACCACAGATAAGGATTGACTTGCTGCATGTATATCACAATTACAGGTTTCATTTTGATAAGTGAACAGATTTTTTTCTGACTTTCTGCTGTTTTCTTTCCAGGCCTGTCTACTAGCCACTTTGCTTGGGCCTTTCATTCAGTGGCAGAGGAAGAGCTGCTTGCAACACTGCCTCCTATGCAGAAAGGAGATCTCACATGGGCAGAGTTGAGGGCGATGGGAGTGGGCTGGTGGGTGAGAAACATAAACGGCTTACGCAGGTGCATTGAGAAGGTGAGTTGCACGGGCTGAATTGCATTGCCTACCAATCTAACTTACATTAATTACTGGTTGATTGTATGTAATTGTTTTCAAATGTCAGTTTATTAATGAGTAGTAGTAGTAACCTGTATAAGCTACATGTAAATCATGGAGGAGATTTGTATTTTTGTTTATTTTAAAAGTTTTAATCATCAGACCCATTCTTTGGATTGTTACATTAGTGCAATGTTTTAAATATGAGATGTTAATGTGAGATAGGTTACTGAAAGTGAAACCTGTATAGTAAGCAAAGCAAGCTGAACACCCTTGGTTCACTTCAAGAGGTGTAGTTATATAAATTGATACAGCATTTTAAAGTTTGTGCTGTTCATAGTAGGGGTCGACCAATATGGATTTTTCGGTACTGATAACTTTTTATGGGCCACCTTTCAGGCCGATAACTGTTTATCAGCTACCAATATTCTTTTTACATCCAGCTGCACCAGCAGCTGAATGTAAACAGCAGGTAGTAGCCTGACATCGTTCGATTCCCTGTTTTTTGTTTACACCAGCCCCTGTCAGAATACAAAGAAAAAATGCTTCCCCTGCTATCTGCTGTATTTTTTGTTTTATTTATTATTTTGACAGTGGCCACTATCAGGGAAAAGGCAAAAAAACAGATAGCAGGGGAATGAATAGCAGACTGACTGTAGCAGTGGATGGGTGCAAAAGCCAATCAGCAGAGGAGAACCTGAAGGAGAACTTTAGGTCCACCTCTGCTGATTGACAGCAGCAGTGGGCGGGTGCAATAGCCAGCCTGCTATTGGCTATTGCGATTTAAAGGAGTACTATGGGGTCAGTGTTTTTCCCCATAGTTCTCCTTAGGGTAATGGGAGGACACAAACTAGCGTCCTCCCATTACCCTAAGCTCAGTATACCGCGAGCTACAGCTCGCAGTATACTGAGACGCCGGAGCGGATCCACGACGGGATCCGCCCAGCTGCGTGAGTGACAGCTGGCTCTGCCTATCTAGAGGCAGAGCCAGCTGTACCCGCCCCCTCCCCCGTCCGTCCCGCCAGTCAGCGCTGGCAGATCGGAGAGGGGAATCCAGCCCCTCCCCCTGTCATGGCAGAGAGCCGTGACAGGATCGAGAGGTGAGCGAACCCGGTATGTGTTCGCACACCTCCCGATCTACTGAGCCGACCTGTGACAGTCTCATTGTCACAGGTTGGCTAGAACTATGAGGTGAGTGAAAAGCACTCACCTCATAGTTCTCCTTTTAAAATATATAATAGCAACTTAGCTATTCATTCCCCTGCTATTTCTTGTTTTTTTTTTTTACTCTGACGGTGGCAGATAGCAGGGGAGCTAATGCACGTAATTGTCAGGATCCGCTTCAGCTGTGGCGTCTCGGTATACCGCGAGCTGTAGCTCGCGGTATACTGCGTCTTCTCAGTATACCGCAAGCAGTAGCTCGCAGTATACTAAGCTTAGGGTGACGGGAGAACGCTAGTTTGTGTCCTCCCGTTACCCTAAGGAGAACTATGGGGAAAATCCCGAACCCCATAGTTTTCCTTTTAAGTGAATTTGTTGGCCCACATCCTAGGGGTTTCATAGCAAAGGGGGTGAATACAAGATTTCTGTTTTTGTCGTTAATTAACGTTGGGGTGAGGGGAAAAAAATTTGCCTTTTTAATGTCACTTTAATTAATGTTTGTGTCGCACTAAAGATTATTTTGCACCTACAAAGTGGTAGACAAGTTGTATACATCTAAAGTCACATGGTGCAAACCCCCAAAAATAAAAATGCATTTTAGTTCCAGGTTATAATGGAAATAGGAAAAACACAAAGGGAAGGGGGGAATGGTTATTGTATCTTGTATGTCAGCCATTCCTCTGTTACAAATTGGAACTGTTTTGCTTAAAGTAATGCATGAAACTTCCTATAGCTTTGTGCTTTTAGTTTAGGTAGATTTGCTTTTAATTTCCACTGTGACATTTTGGAGCTACAGCAATTTATGGAAGAAGAAACCTAGCACGTGTTCACAGCTTGGCTAAGGAATATTGGCAGTTTAGTGTTTGTAGAATACATGTAGTTTTAAAGCCAGTAAATGTCACTCTTAGCATATGTAGTGTCATGAAAATTGTAATGAAACTACCAGATGGGGAAACCTTAATGTGCGATTTGTTGCCATTCCAGGTTGCTAAGGCAGCTTTCCAGCGAAATAATGATCCCTTAGATGCAGCTATATATTACCTGGCGATGAAGAAGAAAGCTGTAGTATGGGGGCTGTATAGGTGAGTAATGCATGCCTTTCTCTTTATCACTTTACTAGTTCATCAGCATCTTCAAGATATGTTTATTCCACTGTATTATGTTTTGGGATGCCCTCTTATAACTAGAATAACACTGAACATTGGCTTAATTAATGTTTTCTAGAAATGCATGAAAAATAAGTGGTACACTCTAGTCAAGCATGACAATGTAATTTGTCACAACCAATGAAGCATTCTAATTCAAGCATGCATAGTTTTTGATTTTGCAGAGCTGTCCTCTCCAAAAGCAGCAGTGTTAGTTCTTTTGAATGGTTTCTCTGTAGCTTTCTGGATGGCTTTAATTTGGTCCTGTGAAATGCAGAACAGTGTCGTCTTTGGTTCATGGGCCATTTGAGTAAGGCAGTGAGGTAGCATATCAAAAACCATGCAAGTCTACCCCAGAAGCTTGGTGGATCATGCTTCCAGGTTCTTAAGTTAATGATAAAAAAGCATTTGGGTTAAATGAACTAGTAAATTAGTATATTCTCATTTATTTTTTTTTAAGTTTCTCTTCAGTAAATATTTTCTAGAGCTCTGCTTGGAAAAAGAATCTAATGCAGTACAAATTTAATCAGAAGATGCTTGTATGTTAATGATCAGAAGGTTAGAGATGCTTGTGTAATGAAATTAAATTAACAAATTGTTCTCACACATTCATTTGTTTTTAAAACCAAATTGACTTGCAAACACATTTCTGCCAACTAATCCTCACTTGTGCAGTGCAATTCCCACAATATCATTTAACAGAATAGATGTTACTCAAGCATGAGTTTTCAAGATCAAAACCAATATGCGAGTGTAAATTGTGTTCATCATAAACATGCTTAACAGTGAGAGCCTTGTTGTAGGAAATGCTTATTTATTACATATTGTACATGTACATCAATCCCTGCCCTCTAGAAGCTTACAGTCTAAGGTCCTCATCTCACATGCATACATACACATAATAAGGCCAATTTAAACTAGAGCCATTAAAATTACCAGCATGTGTTAAGAGTGGGGGAAAACTGGAGCACCCAGCGAAAACCCACAGAGTCAAAGGCGAGAACATGCAAACTCCATGCATGTAGTGTCCTGGTTGGTATTCAAACCAAAAAGTGAACTCTGTCTGACCAGACCTGTACTCTACCAGCAGAATGTTGAACACTTACATGTTCATGGCGTATATAAATGGACATCGACTACTAGAATGGGGCATACTGAGAGAGTTAAGGTGGCCATACACTGGTCGATTTTCAGTCGTAAATTTTTTAGTGTCTGCCATGAACCCTCGTTCGATCATAGCTCGAATGCCCCATCAAGCATGGTCAAATGTCCATTTCGGAAATCGTTCGTAAGCCATACGAACCAACCTATTTTTGACGAACTACGAAAATGAACTCCTTTTGTGTGTGTGCTGTGTTCTGACCGTTCAGAAAATGTTGAGCACAATATCAAATACGAAAATTGGTGATGTACCATCAACTGTTGGATTTTACGTTCAAAAGACTGTTTGTGTATGGCCGCCATTAGTGGAGAGCTATAGATGCCGGGCTGGTTGCTGACCTGCTCTAAACACTGGAACTGGTAAAGTCTGTTATGCAGACATACCCTTCCATCATCTTATATGAGATATTTGTTCTTTGATTATCCCACATAGGCCTTCGAGCAGTGGTTCTCAACCGTTCTAGGGCCGGGACCCCTTGGTAACATTTACCAAGTTGTGGTGACCCCCAACGGTAATAATTACGGATGCACCAATACTAGTATCTGTGTGGGCTCTCAGGTGACTAGTGGGACTCTCTGTTGACGCCCAGTGCTGGCTCTTTGATGCCCAGTGCGGCTCTTCGGTGATCAAGCATCCCCTCACTGCTGCCCGCTCCCCTCTCTCTGATCCTCTCCGGCCACTGCTGCTGCAACGCCATCTAGGAGAACTGACACTGCTGTGCTAGGAGGAGGCTGAGGAGCCTCTTACCTAGCGTAGCACAAGGCATGTGGCGACCCCCGTAACTGCGCGTTGTGACCCACTGTTGGGTCACGACCCACAGGTTGAGAACCACAGCCTTAGAGAAACAGGTTGTGGTTTGTTTTCATGTTTACATTACATGTGCATTCAGATACTTTCTTTACCTAGGACCTCTATTCAATACCATTTTTTTTTTTTTTTTTTTTAAGATCTCAAAGAGAAGCAAAGATGACTCAGTTTTTTGGGAATAACTTTAGTGAAGAGAGATGGAGGAAAGCAGCCCTGAAGAATGCATTCGCTCTGCTTGGAAAACAGCGGTTTGAGCATTCTGCAGCATTTTTCCTTCTGGCTGGGTCTTTGAAGGATGCAGTGGAGGTATGAACAGTACATTTTTCAATCGTAACTTTATATATCTAAGATGTGTTAGAATAGAATTTTTAGTAGGGAATTTATCAAAACTAGAGCAGGCAGAATCTGGAGCAGTTGCCCAGGGCAACCAATCAGCTTCACTCTTCAGTTTGTTAAGATTTGAAAATGAAACAGAGAAGCTGATTGGTATTGAAATGGTAATCTCTGTCTTTCTGTGGAGTGCGAGTTTGTGATTGCTTTTCACTTTTTTGAGCCTGGCCGTGGGAGGCGTTGGAACCTTTCTGAAATACTTCATAGGTCCCAGAATAATGCTTCATATTGGGTCCACATTAACAAAGACGTTTGGGATGTCAAAGTAAATTGTGGTAATGGCAAAGGTTAGGATGAGAGGTCCAGAGATAGATACAGACAAGACCAAAGGGAGGTGAAGTGATGATGTTTTAAATCTTATATTGCAGGTTTGCCTTGAGAAGCTACATGACCTTCAGCTTGCGCTTGTGATATCAAGGCTTTACGAGTCTGAATTTGAGAAATCTTCAACGTATAAATCTATTCTTCAAAAGATGGTGCTGGGAGTGGAATCACATGGCCGAGAGTCCAGTCTCTCCAACATGCATTCAGACCCTTTTGTAAGGAGCATGGCCTACTGGATCCTGGAAGATTACAGGCACGCTCTGGATACCTTACTGAAGCAGCTAGTTAGGGATGAATACGGTAAGAATAATCAATCAGAATAATCAATATTTAGAGCAGAGCATATTTAAAATGTTTTATTATAGTATTTCATACTACATGATGGACTACAATCTCAATACAAGTTAGTACACTAAGCCTGAGATTGTAGTCCATCATGGGAGTGAGCTTGGAACGGTGGCTACTATACAACACACACGGGGACCATGGGGAGCAAAAGTAGCCAACCTCCAGAAGGAAGGACAGTGTCAGCATGAATTCAGAGATGATTTGAGGATCTACAGCCGAGTAATACACAAACAAGGTACATTCTTGTTAATAGTTTAGGTACGTGAATGCATTTTTAAGAGTCAACTCCTGAGTTCAGTGTCACTTTAAGTCCAACTCCAGCCAAATGGGTTTTAAACCCAATAAGTACTGTTATGCAGCATTCTGCTCTGAGTCCAGGCTGTATTGATGACTTGGGCTCACTGGAAGTGGGTTGACTGCCCATGTGCATCTTTGAAACCACAAGAGGAGCAATAGCAGGATGTTAGTGGCGTGGCTGCGCAGACATTGCTGGGGAGTAGGTGTGCAATGTGTAAAAAAAAAAATGCTGCATTTTTTAATTTAGCATTAGCAGCGGTTGATTAACTTGACAATACGTGAAATAATTGTTATATTTTTAAGTGCATACAAGGTTTTTATTTATTTGGTACACTGTTTTAATAAAAATTTTGCTGGCCATATGTTTATAAATGTATCCTTAGCACTGGGTATCATCACGGGGAACATTTAAATAGAAATTGCACAGGGTTCAGTTTTGAAAAGTGTGTGGGGAAAATTGGAACAACAATTAACATTTTATTTCTGTTTCTCCTTTTGGGAGATGTCTCCATGCTTCTGGTCAATGGAACAGGGGTCAGACAGAACAGGACATGAAGGGAAGTCTTCTAATCCCTGATAGAGCAGTAATAGAAACACATTTTCTAGGAGAGTGTCGAACGTTTTCAAACCTCTGCCTGTAGTTTATTGCGGGCTGTGTCACTGATATGAGAAATGAACCTCTTCCTGTTCTGGTTGTGCGTCAGGCAGAACAGAATGTAAAGTGAAATGTATTTATTTAAACTCGGATAGCATTTAAGATCCGACAGAAAACCCTCCAACTCCTTGCCGTCCGCCCATCGTAAAAATACAAGCGGATGGCGGATGCTTCTCGGCGGGTGGACATACATGTACGTGATTTTATTTTCTTCTCTGCACCACCCCTCCCCCCCCACACCCACACACACACATGCGCGCACACACACACTCTTGTCGCTCCCGGGCACCACTGTCCCCCCTGCGGAGCCTGGGACCAAGAACACCGGCACAGCAGTTACTAGTAGAGAGATTCCGCCTTCTCTCTCTAAAGGCAGAAGCGATGTGTATAACATCACTTCTGCCGTTTAGCTGTCATTTCTCTGGCTGAGAGCCAGAGAAGAAGCTGGTGAAGCAAATCTCTGCTTAATCAGCTTCTTTGGGGGTCCCAAAGTGACAGGGAGACCTCTGATTTCTCCATAAAGAGGACCTGTCATTGTTTTTTCGCTATCGCATAGGGAGCTTTTTATCCCATATGTGATAGCAATCAAGTTAAGTGTTTAAAAAAAACAAAAAACACCCAAAAAAGCTAAGGCCCCCACGTGCATGCACTTTTAAACATAACTACAGGTCAGGTGCGCCTACGTGTGAAAACAACTATTACGTGATATATGTTACATATTGCCGCAAACGTCGCAGTGAGAGCAATAATGCTAGGCCCATCAACTGAACTGAACTAAACTGATGAGCGGTAAAAGCTTTTACAGCATCACCTATGGCCAATTTTAGGCATGGTAGTCTTTTGCGATTTGGTGAGCGCGCGCAATTTTAAGGCTTGACATGTTTGGTGTCTATTTACCCGACGTGACCCCGTCTTTTACATTTTACCAAAAATTGGGTATTAATAAATGTTTTATAACAATGTAGAGAAACCTATTTTTATTCAAAATTTTCGGTTCTTTTTTCATTCATATAGTAAAAAATTAAAACCCCAGTGGTGATTAAATACCACCAAAATAAAGTTCTATCTGTCCCCTAAAAATGATACAAGATTTATTTCAGTACAGCATCGTATAACTGAATGAATGTCAAAGTACCGCAGTGCTGAATACTGAAAAATGGCCTGGCCAGGAAGGTGGTTTAACACCCCGGTCAGCAAGTGGTTAATGTGCTTACAGACCATATTTAAAGCTGAACTCCAGGCAGATATAGGACACATGTTTGCAGCTTTTGTTTTATTAATGCATGTTTAAATGTAAGTACCTAAAGTTGACTTGGTATCAGCCTAGCGGCTCCAACTGGGGGAGGGAGAAGCAGCACAAGGAGCCAGTCAGTTGTGCTGCTTTGTCATGAGCATTCTGATAGGAGGAAATGGCAGTGACGGAGAGATGATCAGTCTGCTGATTCTCCTTTTACTGTCCAGTCACAGGCTTTGGGAGGGAACCTGAAAGTAACGCCGTAAAGTCAGGCATTATGTCCTGCCAGAAAGAACTGCTGAGTGTCAGAGATGTGTAAGTTATCAGGACTGGGTTGACAAATCTAAATCAGTTGGCAGATGCACCAGTTTCCATATATGCATTTCATCTGTGTATTTGGCAGTTTTTCTGGACTTCAGATTTAAAACATTACAAAACTTGAAGTAAAAAAAAAAACAATGTTTGGCAGGAGTTGGGCTTACAGTGTGTTCCTATACAGTCAAATGAGGAATTTAACATTTGCACAAATGACCACAGCACCTGGTTCTGGGCCATGTTCGTAGTAAGAGGTAATAGAGCTTGGGAATATTTTTACAGTCTCATTGGGTTAAATAGGTGGAGTGAATATTTTATCATTCATTGTAATTACGACTTTCTTTAGACAAATTTACAAAATGCAAAAAAATTGCAGCATTGATATATTATTGTTGTATGTTGTTTCCAGGCACAACCACATTTGCATCGAGAATTTTCCTGTCGGATCCAAATCTTGTAGTTTTTCTCGATGAATATATATTTGATGCCTTTGTTGTGCCCTTCATATCCTCAAATGAATTTAATCCGGGCATTGTTGTTTGTCTTACAGATTATTCCTGGAGCCTGTCTTCAAGTTGTGATCCATCAGTCTTCAATTTCTATAATTTCTTAAGAACGCATCCCATGTTATTGAGACGTAATTTAGGCTCTTTAGAGTCCTCTACTAAAATATGCCTGTCTGTGGAAAATGGTTTGGCTGACAAAATTAACCTAAGTGAGAGAAGGTTGTTTTTCACCACTGCACATGCTCATTTAAAAGCTGGATGTCCTATGCTAGCCCTTGAAGTATTATCCAAAATGCCCAAAGTAGTGAAGAAATCCAAGCCTTTGCCTCGAACGTCAAGCTTGGCAGATACTACTAAAGTATCCACACCTGTGTCTCCCTTAGTGGGGGAAAAGAAAGACTCGGCTTGTGACTTTGACTGGTCAAACTCCATGGTCAATGGTGTATCTGGCTCATCCTCTGAAAAACAAACACATTCTGAAGGTTTATTTGATTGGAGCCATCCGTCATTGGTAATTGAAGATGAGCCTTTGGAATTAAAATGGGATAGTGAGACAGATGAAGAATCTGAGGGAACTGGGTTATCCATGAAGGATGTAAAACCTTCACAAAACGCAGAAAGCGATAAACAAGTGAGGACCAGTACAAGTTACTCAGAATCCTGTAGCATTGATGACAATGATGTTCTCAGTCCGGCAGAAGATGTAATCGCTGTCCAGCTTAAGTTTAGAGCTTGCCTAAAGATTCTCACTGGGGAACTGCGGACATTATCCACTGGTTATGAAGTTGATGGTGGCAAACTGAGGTATCAGCTGTATAGCTGGCTGGAAAGAGCAGTTGTTGCTCTTCAAAAGATTTGTGATTATTGTGTTAATGTGGAAGAGCTGAGCTCGGTGGGAGCTGTTGAATATTCCTATGAGGATAGCTTGGATGACTCTTCTGATCAAACCACGTCAAAGCAGAGGAAAGAGCTCATTGAGAGACGTCAGTGGCTGTTGAAGTTTCAGTCATTGCTAAGAATGTTCCTCAGTTTTTGTATACTTCATGGATCTCATGGTGGCGGTCTGGCCTCTGTACGTATGGAATTAATACTACTTTTGCAGGAGTCACAACAGGTATTTTTCTTTTGCTACATGCATTACCAACTACATCATTATTTTTTTTGTTCTTTTGTGTAGAAAATTAGCTCAACATTTACTATTAATAGCTAGTTTTCCTCATCTGAGTAAAATTGTGGATTTAGTGTAACTATTCTGTTCCTTTATAAAGGAGCTATACACACCCATACAATACTGTTTTTAGTGTTGGGTTAAATTTGTTTTTGAAGCTTTGCTCCAGGTAGACATATAAACGGCACCGGTAATGCAATTGCATATGCATTAAAAGTTAGGGATGCACCGGTACCGTTTTTTCAGTATCGAGTACTAGGACCGATATTTATATTTCTGTACTTGCCGGTACCGATACCGGTACTTCCACTAGCATGGAGTCGGCTTCGGGAATCAGGAAGCCGGGCGGCTAGTCATTACCCACCGTCTGGATTCCTGATTGGCCAGGAAGCTGGCTCCATTTTTAAATGTAACTAATGTAAGCACCTGACCAGACATCGCTTACTTGATATATGCTTCTTGTAATCCCCTGTAAAATAGAACATTCATGGACATGCAGGCTGTAGAAGGGTAGAGAGGTATTCGCTCATCAGTCTGCTGCTGCTCCTTCATTGACCAGTCACACGCTATTGGCAGAGAGATGACCTAGCTTCATTGCTCAAGTGCAGTAGGAAAAAGCCAGGTCACTAGCCTGGCAGTTCTAATATGTTTATTTGTAAATCTCAGGACTAGAACAAAAGCATTAAAAATCCTTTTCAGGTAAAACTACTGCCTTCTATGTCATTTAGCTGTGGATTGAGCAGTTTGCCTGGAGTTCAGCTTTAAACGAAAATGTGAGGCTAGGCTCTGGACGCCATGTTTTTTTTGCTATGTTTTTTTAAAGGTGCAGTCATCTTGCTTCACTACATAGTACAGTACCTGGAACAAGCATATTCAGTGAAGTCTAAAAAATTGATCTCCCTCCCTGCATGCTTCTTCCAGTTATTCACTATGTAGTGAAGATAGGGATCAGGATGATGGCCTTGGAACTTGCAGCTTCTGATAACAAGTCATCATTAACACCTTTCATATATCTTTCCTTGCTACACCTCTCCCACGCTTGGCCTCACTCATCACTTTGTCTTAAAGTAGATTTATTCCTTTTGCCTATTACAAATCAGATAAGATTATTGTGGGAAATTAAAAGAAGAATCTTCTCTCTGACAGAAGCAGCAGTAGCTTTTCCTACTAAACCTCAATAACTGATGCTTGCTGCTCTTAATCCAGAAGCTCCAGAGATGATGGGCACCAGCTATAGAAGAAATGCATCTATCACATCAGTCAATGCCATTCAATTAATGCCACATGTTCTAATACTGAACACGGGGCACACAAGCGCATTACCTTGAGCTGCAAGTGTTTTCTGAAAAGTTAAACCATTCAGGACCCTTTCACACCTGTCCACTCCACTGCATTACGTGAACACACACACACACACACACACACACACACACACACACGTGTTTTGTGGAAACAACCAAATTTATTTTGAATGAATGAACACACAAACTTTTTCTCCAACACATCACAATGTACAGTAATGTGTTTCTATGCCGTTGCATGTTGAGGATGCTTTGGGGTACCATTCAAATTGAGTGACACCACAACACACCAACGTGCCTAACTTCCATTACCTCAGCGAAGTGATGTGAAACCAGCCTTAATTCTATTGAACTTTTAGATGTTGCAGATGCAGACCAAGTACATTATTTTTGCTCGCACAAAAGAACACCTGTTAGGTCTGCTAGAAATCTGGATTCATTGTTATCTTCCTGTGGACTAAACTGAAATCGCAAGCAGTGTTATCAGCTTCCCCATCAGTCTTCTGTGAACTGCAGACTATCTGTTATTGAAATGAGAACGGGGAAGGTGTTTGTAGTCGAAATTAGGTGACCCTAGAGTGACAACACTGCTTATTCATAGAGGACTGTGAGTGAGAGTTGTCACCTCAGGACAGGCTATGTGTCACCAGGTCCAAATAAGAGTAGAAAGGACATGAATGCAGCCACCACATCCAAGGGTCTGGTAAGCTGCACTATATTACATTTTTGTTTCTTGGATTTAGGCATACTTTAATCATGCAATGCCCTAAATTTAATTTACAAGCTGCCCATTAATCACTTGAATAGTTTGTGTATTGTGTACTTTTTTTACTCTAAAGACCAAGATTATTCTGATACAAGTATATTGGATCTGAATTTATTAAAGAGTCTTTGTAATTGATTTTACTAATGTATGTACTCCTTATGTGGTTTTGCACTATACTCAGTCTTTTGCTTCTCTTTCAGGACAGCTCACTGCTCTCCAATCCTCAGACAGAGCAGACTTCAGTCCCACTCCTTTTTGCTTGCACAGCAAGTGCCAAAACTGTTGTAGCCAATCCTTTACAACACCTGAGCAACTTAACTCACGATATCTTACACGCCATAATAAATCTGGATTCACCACCTCATCCTGATATCCAAAACAACAAGGTATCCGTTCATTTTTATCTTTTTTAATCAAGTAATTTTTATTGGGAATAATATTCCCAATTTGATGACACACCTAAAAAAAATGTACAGAAAAGAAAAATAACAAACTCCATCTCTCACTTCCACCCACAGAACCCATACACCATTTTCCCACTCAATTTGTAAAAAATAGCATTAATGAAATAAATGGTTATATATCTGCAGTTAAGTGTAAAATACGCTCAGCAGTTTGCTGCAGGCTTAGTGATTGGAATCCAACTTACTACATTGTCATTACCGCAATAAAATATTGTGGATGATACTAATCGGTTTGTGTGGCGGTCAAATTAGTACAACTCCTCCCAAAGCACGCAGGGTCTGGCTACTACTCTTGTACATATATGTTCTTAATGTGCCTTCTAGTATAACAGCCTAATGTAAGGTTATGTGGGGCAGTTTTCCCAAACTTTGGTGAACTCATGTGGTGAACCTCTTTTTGGAATGTTAGCTTCTCCATTTCTAGTACGGTATATTCCCTTCCTCTTGGTAAATGTGGGGTGAATTGGAGGAGATCCATTTTTGCACTTTGAAACACTTCTGGAAATGTCTCTTCTGGTAGGAATGCTAAAATACCCATCTTGGGGTCTAAATGTTGTGTAATAAATGATGGGAATCCATATTTATCATTTGAAATATGAAGTCCCAGTATCTGAAAAGTTTTGGACAACTCCATAACCTTTCTGCTTTCAAATATTGAAATTTTACTAGAGCTCCGACTTAATGTATTAGTGCCTGGATATTTCATCTGTTTATTTTTGGTGTGAGAGACTTTTGTTTAGAGAATATTACAGACATGTTTTACTGTCTATCCTCCAGATTTATGTCATGCATACTCTGGCTGCATCCCTTTCTGCCTGTATATATCAGTGCCTTTGTGGAGGGCAAGTCAACAGGTACAGTACATTTAAACTTCTGTTATGTTGTATAAACCAACTAAACTTCAAAAATCAAGCTAATACATATTTTTAATCACACAAGGCAAAGCTTTATAACGGGTGTGGAATTCCTATCGCCCGACGCCCGGGACATGCAGTTCTGGGCGCCGGGAGAGTAGTTATCTTGTACATTTACCCCTGCTTCGGGCAAGCGGAGCTAAATGTACAGCATGGAGCCGTCGCTCGTTTTGTACAAGCGATCTGATTAGATCAGTTGTACCTGTCTGTCCCTCCCTACCGTGGTTGTCAGGGTCCTCCGCTCCTCTGGCAGGGATTCGGGATCATGGCAAATAAGCTCAGTATGGAGAGTGGGGAGCAGAGCGAAAGATGTCCATTCTTCGCGCTGCTCTGTGTCATCACAGCGCCACCTGTCTCCGCTGTCAGGAACTGTGCAGAAGATCTGTTCTGTGTTGGAGGGCAGGTTCCATAAAGAGAATAAAATATTAGGTACAAAAAGAAAAAGTAAAATAATACAAATTTAAAATGTTTTAAAAAAATAAGGGAAAGTAAAAAAATTAAACCCTGCCCCACCATCTGCATGCAAATAAATGTAGGACATTGTGTGTGTGTGCTGAGTGCTGCCGCCATTCCACTGTGTGCCATATTGTCATAGCCAGGCAGCAAAAACTCTCTTAGAACCCGTTCACACCATTCCAGAGCGGTCAGCCTCTGCAACACACTGTATTGCACTCCAGCCAACTCCATGCGGGAGGGGGCGCCCGCAGTGCAAGCGCCCGAATGCGTGGCACATTAGTTTCAGTCCAGTGCAATCTGCAAAAATAGTGCTTGCAGCATTTTTGCAGATCGCACTGGACCAGAACGCTAATGTGCCGCATTGCGGGCAGGGGGCTGGCTGCGGCACCATCAACTTCAATGCACTGCCAAGCCCCCTCTTGCCCCTACGTGGGGAGCCGGCTGGAGTGCGAGTACTGCTGTCCTGCGCTGTGTATTTTGAATTTCGCTCGCAAATTGCAAGCGCTCGTTTGTCAGCGTCGTCAGGTGGCCATGCTGACTAATGAGAAGCGCTACTTAGCACTTTGGAGGAAGTTTTTCTAAAAAAATGTTTTACATTCCCACAGTCCTGTTTTATAATATATTTTTTTAGTTACTGTACTATTTCTGGTCTAATGCCACGACATGTATATGCTTGGGCATACTCAGACATTCTTTAGAATGTTTCTGTTCTTCTGTGTACATTTTTTGGTTGTGTTCACTGCTGTGCAAACAACTAAGCTGCATGGAGTTGACTCAGTCCTGTAAGTAGCAGCCTGGGTTCTGCAGCATGCAAGTGAGACCGACTTTGCTCTAGATCAGGAACACCAGTAATGTGTCAATGTTATGTCTTTTTTTGTTTCAGTGCCTCCATGCAGACTAATCCATTCACAGGCATGGTGTACCAGAGTGTGCTGCTTATTCACAGACAACCAATGAGAACAACAAGTCTGGATGAAGCAGTGATACCAAACACATCGCCCACTCATTGGCCAGGTACTCTAAACAAAATGTTTATTGGTTTCTAAGAGCTGTGTAGATCTCTGTCTAGTATGTGCTGACAATTTTGACTCTGTTCCCCTTTTCATTTGAAGGGTAAATACACTTTCCCAGGTGAATTTGGGAAAATGGAATTACCCCCCCTCCAATCTGGCCCCCTCTCTCTACCCTTGCTGTTTTCACCTTTTGGCTCCTTCCTCTCCGACGGTGTACTGCCCGTGCTCTGTATTTTAAATTTCACTCGGAAATGGTGAGCATCAGGATAACCGTGCTGACCAATAGAACCAATGAGAAGCGCTCAGTTTTAGTTGTCCCCTGTTGCCATCACTTTTTTTTCATTGGTAAGTAAAGATCTCTCAGGAAGGTGAATGGGGAAGAAATAGTTTTATCTGTGTATTTGTATTTTGTCAGTGTAAAATCGTAATTTGTGATAGTCTTATGGCTATTTGTTTTGGTGTATACTGACAGAGCAGACATCAAGTAGTGGGTTTGAGATGAGGTTATATTACATGTCCTGAATAAAGACTGAACCACAAATATATTTGGCCATACAGGCAAGAAATACTGAGATGATAATACATTATTCATTAGAAAACATCGGTTAGAAGCTGTAGATACTGTATTTCATGGGCTCTGTTTTTTTTAACTTATGTTTAGTTTGAATTGCTTAAAGGGTTATTAAAGCCTCAGCGGTTTTTGTATATATCTACTGCTAGCAAGCAGTAGATATATGCAAAAACATTTTTTAAATTTACCTGTGTCTTCACCGCACGCTCCAGTTTGAACATCTGAAGAGTCTCGGGCGGGCGCAAGAGATATTGGGGCGGGCGTATGCGCACTTCAGATGTTCGGCCAGGAGAGGAGGAGAGACACAAGGTAAGTCTATAGAGCAGCGTGCACCCGCACAGATTGCGTTGGACATCGGAGAAGAGGAGGACAGAGGAGTCGGCACTGGATCGGAGACCCGCACCAGTGCTGGAGGGACAGCTGAAAACAGTAAAGAAGAAGATGATCGGATTAAGGGGCATGATTTAGGGCAGTGGTTCTCAACCTGTGTAACCTCAGGACCCACATTTGTCCTTGGTCAATAAGTTGTGACCCAAGTTGCACTGCAATGGAATGCAGGGCCATGCGGTGTGGTAGGTGCAATTGCGAAGTACAGTGCGTTAATCGCATGTGTCTGTGCGATTAACGCACTGAACTAGTGTTAAAAAACACACAACCACAGACACAATCTTACACACACACACACACACATTAACACTCCAAAAAAAAGAATTTGTAATTTTTTTAAGATCCACCCAGTCTCCCTACCTTATGAGAACTGGAGTGGATCCTTAGCTTGGGGTCTGGTGTGGGCTGCTGTACTGTGATGAAGCTCCATCCATATGTGCAGTGCTCAACAGCTCCTTTGCACACCCTGTAGAGGTGCCGAGAGCCAGTATGTTACATCACACCGGTCCAGGCACCTCTACAGGACATGCGAGGGAGCTGTAAGCAATGCACATATGGATGGAGCCCACTCTACCTCAAGCTGACACTCGGCACCAGGCAGCATATTTTGAATGGCTGCTTGGCGCAAGAACGGACAGTGTTGCACTAGGGGGAGGCTGAGGAGCCTTAATCGGCTAACTAATCGATTTTGAAAATAATCGTTAGCTGCAGCTCTAGATATATTTTGTCTACATATTTAAAGATGTCTTAGTTTGTTTTGTGCTAGATAAAGGAAAATGTATACAAAACCACTATGCATTGTCTTAATAAAGAAGACTGAAAATAAGCTGTGTTTCTCTCACATAGGAATATCTTCATTAATTCGCCTGTTGAATTCTGCTGGAGAGGAAGCTCAGCCGGGGCTCACTATTCTGCTGTGTGAAATTCTGACGGCTGTCTACCTGAGTCTGTTCAGTCATGGATTGGCCACTCACTCCAGCCAGGAGTTATTCTGTGTTGTTGCTCATCCTCTGAATGACAAGATGTGGTCTGCAGTCTATGGAGGAGGAGCACGAATCCCATGCCGAGGGCAGATGCCTGTTAAACCTGTCACAGGTTGGTTTTCTTTTAAATGCATATTTATTATTATTAGGGCTGCAACAACTAATCGACATAATTTATTATTGAAAAAGTTGTTAACTTTTTCAAGCATCGATTAATCGGCTTCCAATTAGTTGGCCCTTTTCACAGCTCCACACACGCTGTGCGCCGCACCTCCTCCCCACCTCACGTTTGCCGCTGCCAGACCCGCCCGCTCCCACATCCACAATCCACACACTGCATCTCCTCACCGCCCGCCCACATCCACGATCGGCACAGGGACGCGGGGAGAAGTAAGGAGGTGCAGGTGTGGGGGGATGACAGCCGCCGATAGACAGGCCCCATCTCAGAAGCAAGTTTCTGGAAGACTGCTCAGGTAAGCCTGCACTTCCCTCCCCCACATGGTGCTCTATAATGTATTGCTGGAATTTGTATTCCTCTATAGCTGATGGTACATTGTGCTGTATATTATACCATCAGCTATAGAGGACTACAAATCCCAGCAATAATACATTACAGTGCAATGCGGAATATCACAAGCTATAGAGGACTACAAAACCCAGCAATAATACATTATACAGTGGTGCAATGGCGAATACCACTAGCTATAGAGGACTAGAAAACCCAGCAATAATACATTATACAGCGCAATGCAGAATACTGCCAGCTATAATGTACTATTGCTGGGATTTGTTGTACTCCTCTGTAGCTGGTGGTATTGTGCTGTATAATGTACTAGTGCTGGGTGTTGTAGTCCTCTATAGCCTGTGCCATTCTGCATTCATTGCTCTATAATTTTACACTTCATTTCACTATATTGCACACCACACTTTTTTTTTTTTTTTTTACTTCCACCGCTCCAAATTTGCTCCTGTGATGGACTACAATCTCAATACAAACTAGTAGTCCCATCACTGGAGCCATTTTAAAAAAAATGTATTTTATCCGAATAATCGAACGTAATAATCGGCTAACTAATCGATTTTGAAAATAATCGTTAGCTGCAGCTCTAATATTATCATTGTGTCAGAAATGCTTAAACTACAATGCTTCTGCAATGTATTCTTTCTTTCTTTCTTGTACGTTTATGCATACTGGTATTTTAATAAATGTCTCTCTCCTCTACCCTCTTTAGTCGACATTGCTTGGATATGCTAGGAGAATTTTGCTAGAATCTTAAAAATGTAAAAACACAATCCAGTTTGAATATGGTATTACCAATCTAATCATTTTCAAGTCCAATCTAGTGTTTGGAATCCTATGTCAGTAAAAATGTTGACTCCCTTAATACAAATTAGGGATATTCTTATTGGCAGTATGAGTAAACAAGGAACCTGTCAGGATAGCTGTTGTATATTATAAGTATCATATTTCCGTGTCTATTACCATGTCTGCCTCAGACCTAGCACTGCATTCAGGAGTCAGACAATGGGAGCCCTTGCTATGATGGATATTAATGCCCCTGACCTGTTCCCTTTAACTTAAAATCAAATTGAGCAAATGCCCTAAAAGAGAATTAAAAAAAATAGAAGTATGGATTACCTTTTGGAAAAAACAACATCTCCATATAGTAAATACTGTATCCAAAGATAAAGTCAGCTGAAGAGATTTACAGATCAAGTCTTGTAAAAGTTGAGCTGGGCCAAGTCTCTTCCCATACCACAAGCCTTCCTATGGATCTGTTAGGATGCTTATCGCATCAAAGGACCAACAGGAAGACGGAAAAGGCCAAGCTCAACTTTGTAACAGGTTTATGGCAAAGCCCTTCCACGATGTAATGAATGATGGAATAACTTGTAATAAACCTTGGTTCACAATACATTTTCCAAGCTGTCTCAATGCATGTAGAGCAGTCACCCAGAGTCGTATGCTTAGATCATCATATAACTGGTTTGATCACCCAAAAACACATGGCTTTCTGGTATGCAAATTTGAAAACGGCTTATGTTGCTAAGAGCATGGGTCTGTCCTCTCCCACTTGCTGTACCTCACTATCTGCCAATAACTATGATGTGGGGTACATAAGGGCTGTCCTGCGCATTCAACAACTGGAGTTGGTTGAAATGTGTGCAATTTTAGAGCTCTTGAGGAGCTCTGCAAATTGTGTGAATATTCATGCAAGCCCTCCTGGGTGCTGCTCTATATGTCTGCTGACGCATGTTCATTATAAAGATATCTTGCTCTTTAAATGATTGAAAAGCTATCCGTTTATTGAATAAAGTAAGGATGCACTCTTCATTCATGTATAAGGTGGAATAAGAGCATTATCTTTATTCTGCAGGGTTGTGCTAAGTGAGGTAGCTTCCTGGTAGTCTGAATATCATTTTCCTAATGTATTAATGGTAATAAATGTGTATTGTATAAACTTAACTGCTTAGTTTTAAGAGTAGCAGATCAGAATCTTTATTATAATGAAGCAGTCATTATAAATACCCAGACTTCCTATAATGTGCTGCTTCCTTGCTTTGTTAAACCCTTGACAACCCATCACATGCTCTGAACTTCTCTTTTTTTGTTTGTTTTGTTTTGGCAGGGAAATACTTTTCTATTCCCAGCCCTCATCAGGTAGTTGTGTTCTCCATGGAATGTGTTGGCTTTTCCAAAGCCCTTACTGCCATCAGTACTCATAGCCCTCCCAGTTCTGCAGGCAAGGACTTAGATTTTAGCTGAGGCCTTAACCTGATTTTGCATACTAAGAAACAGGCCAGCTTTAGAGTGATTTTACTTTTTTTTTTATTATTATTTTTACTTTTTTCTTTTTTTGTATAAGGCTGCATTTTTGTAATCCTTCCCATGGATTTCTAATTGTTTAAACCTGAGATCCTTCAATCCTTCAACTGTAATATTTAATGTGATATACTGAATACCAGTATTGCTAAGTACAATCAAATTTTATACAGCATTAGATGAGGAAGGTTGAGGTGGAACTGGCGATATATTTGGCAATACGGACATCCAATACTGATGGAGAATACAGTGTTCAGGTAATTTCTGTGTTTGGAATAAACGGTTAGAAATCCATGGACTCTTGCTTGATATCTTTATTAAATCTTATCTTACTAACTTTCAGTTTCAACAGCTTTATGCTTGGAAGAATGTGTGTATTTTTAGATTTTGGTTTCTTTTACATGTAGGTTTTGGTTTGGGTTGCAGTGTGACAGAGCTTTTCCCTTTTACTAAAAGTGTTCTTGTTAATGTCTCTTAAGTATTCATTTTAGTGCAGATAATGGTGACTAAATGCATGTGTCACTGGCTTTCTGCTGAAGCCATAGGATCCACAAGCAGGTCTGAACATGTTAAATGTGATGATTACACACATCATCTTCCTAAAAGAGAGCAGTGGCCCAACCCTTTTTTGTTGTTGTTATAGTTCTCTTTAGGGCCATAGGAGGACATATACTAATAACCCAAAACTCGGCATATAGCATGTTATTGCCCACTATATTCTGGCAGCCGGGACAGATCCGGACAACAGACAGAGCTGGAGGAACAGAGAGGCGGAATCCCTACGAGGAGCTTTGACTTAGTCACCATTCTCTGCAGGGAGATGATTGGCAAGTGAGTGATCAGTGGTATGTAATCGTTCAGTTCCCGATCAATACAGCCAATGTCTGACAGCTTCAGTGTCGCACATCCGCTCTAATTATGGGGATGAGTGTATTTTACTCAACTCATAATTCTCCTCTAAGGAAACTTGGGGGGGGTGGGGGGGGGTTGCTTTCTGCTGAAGCCATAGGATCCACAAGCAGGTCTGAACATGTTAAATGTGATGATTACACACATCATCTTCCTAAAAGAGAGCAGTGGCCCAACCCTTTTTTGTTGTTGTTATAGTTCTCTTTAGGGCCATAGGAGGACATATACTAATAACCCAAAACTCGGCATATAGCATGTTATTGCCCACTATATTCTGGCAGCCGGGACAGATCCGGACAACAGACAGAGCTGGAGGAACAGAGAGGCGGAATCCCTACGAGGAGCTTTGACTTAGTCACCATTCTCTGCAGGGAGATGATTGGCAAGTGAGTGATCAGTGGTATGTAATCGTTCAGTTCCCGATCAATACAGCCAATGTCTGACAGCTTCAGTGTCGCACATCCGCTCTAATTATGGGGATGAGTGTATTTTACTCAACTCATAATTCTCCTCTAAGGAAACTTGGGGGGGGTGGGGGGGGGTGACCTTCTAGATGTAGCTTTGCCATGGGGCCATTATGAGGGGCTTATACCCTCCCTTTTTACAGTTTTCATGTATTTTACAATTATGTAGCATATATGATATCTGAAGTTGAAGGAAGAGATTTTGGGTAGCATGTAAGTCTATGGAGATGCAGGTGTTGTGCATGCACACACGAGGCTTCCCGCAGCTCCTAGTTTTGACAGCTGCGCAAAAACAGCATATGGCCTCAGGTGCATACGGCCTCAGGTGCATACTGGGATGGATGCACCGGTCTGAACCCACTGTACATCACTAACGTGTCTATACGCAGATACGAACCAACCAACCTGTTGCAAGGATGTGGCAATACCATTCCTAACCTCACCTGCACAGAGTTTTCTCAGCTCGCAGGACAACAATCTCGGTCCAGCAGACTGAGAGCTATCATCACTAGGGCTTGTTAACTCAGCAGTTAACCCTTTATACGCAATACAGCAGCTGCCACCACATGTTTTAACGAGAATATGCACTATTCTCGGCAAATGCTGTTACAAATCAAAAACTTAAAGCCTATGATACCACTGTCCTTTCAGACAGGAAAGTGACAGGTTTCACTATACAGTAGCACTCTTTATGGAGACAAGGATACTTTAAGTTCTTATTTAGAGTGTAGAGATAAGCTTAACAATTTTTAAGAATGTCCATAAAAGAAACGGTGCAGGAAAAATATACAGAAAAAAATGTTAACCAAGAGAGACAAATATAATGTTGGTAAAATAAAAAGGAATAAAAGAGTACTTAACAAGTCTTGGGTTTTTTAAGTTCTGACAGTCCAGCTGAATGCTGGAAAAGATTCTTGATGTTAAAGGGGAACTCCTTTTTGGGTGTTACATTAACTTCTCCTTCTGAGCTTACAAGAGCTTCTTGATGTTACCAGAACTTCCTGACTGCCCTGCACAGCCATTTTTTGTCAATACTTTGGGGGATGTCATGGAGCTAGCCCATAAGGCAAGGCTGAGGAGGGTGAGCAGGAGGGCTAAGCCTTTATGATGTCCTTCTCTGCTCCTCCAAAACTGTCAATTTAATACATATCAACATAGTTTAATATTCTTACATTACATTACTGTCTGATAACCCCTAAATTATTGTGTGTCAGGAAATAAGCTTCAGGTCATGTGTGTGAATTTTATGGCTGGCCCAGGAGGGTTAATGTGGCTTGTTAGGACTCTGATCATCGTACCCCATAGTGATTGATATGTGTGGATTTCCCTTGACGAGCAGAAGCGATTTATTGGATTCATTTTACTATATCCTTTGATTCTGGATGATAAAAATTGGGTTAATATGGTAATTCCTTTTATGACTGAGTGGGATACCACATATTCCTTCCTAATCTGTCAGGCAATCTGTCGGGAATTAGCTGAACTGAGCAGGATAATTACTGTGGTATTAGCTCTTTACTACACCTAACGTAAAAGATCATCAAAGCTAATCCACACCAGCCCTAGGGAAAGCTTTAGATGAACAATCGGATTTGATCAAAGGGACCAGATATCTGGTGCAGGATTTTGAGGATGCCTGAACAAAATTTTCGGTAGCCTGAGGTAATTTGAACTAGAAAGGCTGCATTCTACGGGAATCGGCGGGTCAGCCCGGGGGGGAGATGTGCAGCTTTGCCCTAGGCAAGGCAGCATCGCTGCCCTCAGCGAATCTGCCGCTCCAAGCAAACGCCTTGTTTGCCTCGCGGCAGATACGCCCCTGCTCAAACCTCATTATTGTCACACATACATGATGGATACTGGTCCGTGCACCATTTGTGCGTGTCTGTCAAAACTCTGAGCTGCGGGAAGCAGCATGTGAGGGTGCACAGCTACTGTGTCTCGATAGACTTGCATGAGCTGCCTGCACACTTCCCGCAGCTCCAGGCATATCCCAAAAAATGGTCTTTCACACTGTGTGAGGCTCCATGCCCCATGCAAATGAGGCCTTGGGCTCCATGGTGTGTAAAGATAAAGTTTGGTGGAGAGGTAATCCGTGTTATGGTCTCCTAAATTGATATGATTGTAAAGGCTATTTAGCCCACTAGTGAACAATGGTGACCAGTTTAGGATGGTCTGACTCTTTGAGAAACCAGTATAAGAATGAAAGAAATTTTGTAAGTCTGGCACAGTAAGATTCTCAAATGTTCTTTTGAATTCAAAATAATCACAGTATTTGTTAAGGAGACAAATGTATAAGTGTATAGTAAAATAGGGCTTGATTTTAAGAGTGAAGTAATAAAATTCCTGGCACACGCATTGATTCTTAACTTATAAAACCAATAGCTAACTTAACCTAAAAAATACATCTAAAATCGGATCCCATGATCCTGCTATCCTTTCTGTTTTAAACGTTGAATCTTATTAGGAGGTTTTATGTGGAAGAGTGCTGCTGAGACTTAAGCTGCCCATACACCTGACGATTATCGACCGATAATTGCGGGTGATCCCGCGATCGTACGATAATTGTAAGGTGTATGGGCAGCGTGCGACCGCATATACTGTAAGTTTGCACGACTTTCGTCTCACGAGCATGCTAGAAAACCCCCTGAAAATCGTACGATTTTCGGCGGGTTGGTAGCACGATCGCAAGACGAAAGCCACGCAGGCGCACACTGCCCGCTCACCATTGCAATCATCTGTATGCCCTCCCATCAGCGGGGATGAATTGCGATGATCGCAAGTACGATCTGCCTGTCCAAGATGGGCAGTTTGTACGGAATTTGAATCGCCTTACAACCATCGCACAACGAAAGTCGTGCGATGGTTGTAAGGTGTGTGGCCACCTTTTATATTGGTCACATTTTATATAGTTGCATGACACCTGGGGAGAATTGTGCTGCCAAATATTCATGGTGGTGGTATCAGAAGCGGCACAATTGCCGCCCTTTTATTGTGGTACCACCACTACAACCCTTAGGAAAAATTAACCAGTTTGGGGAAGAGCTTTACTCTGGTATATCAAGAATGCTGCATTCAAAGCAATAATGTGAAATGAAAAGTGTAACGCTTTCTACAGATGAAAAACATTTTAGGGGAATTTATCAAAACTGGAGCAGACCAAATTTGCAGCAGATGTGCATGGCAGCCAGTCGGCTTCTCTCATTTTCGAAGCTTAACAGAACAAACTGAAGAGACATGCAGATTTAGTTGCCCTGGACAACTGCTCCTGATTTTGTCTGCTCCAGTTTTGATAAACTCCCCTCTTTGTGTTGACTTTTGTCTAAAGAGTGAAATGAGGGCAAGTGAAGTGCACCTACAGTATGATCACTTCTGACTTTGTCATGTTAAGAATGTTTATTTCTTCAGATTCCCCTGGACAGATTTTAGCTTCACTCCATACTTTAGTAAATCAGTTTTACTTTACTTTACTTAAATTCATGTGATTTCAATTCACTTCAATTCACAATCTAGTTTATCAGACCCAAAATCTGTGGATGTGTGAGCACTGTAGGACATTTACATTTTAGAATGGTGAAAGAATAGGAGGATAACATATTGAAGACATGAATTAACCATGGTGAAATTATTTAAAATGTAAGGTGAAAAGCGGTGTAGAATAGAGGCCTAACAAAAACATTACTTTAGAGAACCATGTTGCTCAAAGATAGAAACAATAGGTATTTAAAGCAGAACTAAAGTATTTGTTTTGCTTAATGCAAACACTCTGAATGCGCAAGTTAAAATTGCATGCATACACAATACCTGATCCATGTTGTATTATCCATATTTTGTATCCTCCACGTTTCATCTTGCTTAGTTTATTGATCAGCATTAGTAGAATGTAAAGAAGGGGTGGCACCTTCTGAGGAAAGTGATGTAATCATTCCCTCACAGGAAGTGCTTTTGCAGGAACCATTTTTTTTCTTTGCCAGTAATTGCGCCCTAGTCATCTATGTATTATTATTTTTTAAACAGTTGTCAACAAATGAAAAGGGAGAACAGCACTAGTATGAGCCGAAATGTTCTGTTCAGTGCTGGTCTTAGTCCCTTATTCAAATAAAGGAGCATAATGACATGCTCAGAGGAAGGTGTGGAATGCCTATGACCTCTGGGCTGTAAAGTTTGCAAAGCTAAAGCGAAGAGGTAATGGAGAATTCCAGGTCCTGCACTGCACAACAGCTGGGAGAGTTTCTGAATGAAACATAAGACCTATTTAAGTAGTTTTGCAAGTATGCATGCATGTACTATTTTAAATTGCAATTTCAGAGTGTTTACATGTAGTTAGGGCAAAACCCCTGCAATGTTGTTTTTATTTTTTTTGATCAGTGTCTGGCTGTGGTAACTTCTATTTCCTTCCCTTCCATGCTACGACCTCAGTAATTTACAAGCACTCAGCGATCAGTCCTGATCGCTGAGTGCTTGTAGCCCGCTCTCCATTCTGATTCGCCTGTCAGAGGAGCGGCGTAGTGCGGGAGGAGAGCATGGCCTCCGCTGACAGCTCTCTCCTCCCCGAACTGCCCGCTCGGCCTCCTAAAAACTTTTCTTCTCCTTGCTGAGCATCAGCGGCTGAATCACATTGGATCCCCACTGCCTCTGCCAACACAGGTGGGGGAGAGCAGCGTCATCAGAGAGCACACAGACCGGTGTCCAGTGGGGGGAGAGAAGCTGTGGAGGCACTGAATTTTCGGGCTGTTATGGCACTATCTGCGTTTTGCCCATAGTATCATTTTTGGCCTAAAATGTGGTGCATCCCTAGTATCTACAGTTCATGCTCCATTAGTCTGGTTGTCGGTGGGAAGAATGTTTCTTATATTGCTGGTTAGTGGCAACAATCCCCCCTTTATAGATGGCAAAAAAACAATCATTGGTTTTAGTGATAATTTATCTGAGAGTCCACAGAATCCTGGTTTAGGAGCTGATTGAATGCCTGATTCACACGTACGCGATCCGTGACCGTGCGGCAATCGTGCACCAAACTGTGGATTGCTGTGCATTGTGCTGGTGGTGCCAATATTTTCTAATGGCGCGCCAGTAGTTCCGGGCGGATCGCACACTTTCCCACCGCGATTCCACCCATGCAATTGAACACTAAAAAAGCTGCACGTTGTGTGTCGCAAAAAAAAGTACATGTACCTTTTTTTCAGAGATTTTGCAATGAGGATGTAACCCCATCCGGGATCATTCAGATCTGAACCTAGCCTTAAGGTCTCTCTTACCAAGGATATCGACAATGTAATCACAAGTTTCTCTTATATATAGATAGATCTATATATATATATCCGTGAAAGGATCACAAAGAGAAGGTGATGTTCTGCTGTTTTTGAGCTGTAGTTTTTCTTTCGATTTTATTTAATGCATTCTGGAGGACAATCTGAAAATGTGTTCTTTTATAGCACACACAATCTATCAAAGTTTATTCTGCAGTCTGTAACTTCTAATAGCTGAAAGACAGATGTTATGGATCAGCAAGCGCTTCCCCCTCAGTGTTTTTGTATTATTTCTAAACTGACCATTACACTTTTTATGTTTGGCATGTGCATGCAGATTGTGCATGTTTATGATTGAGTTTGAAGTTTCCAAATGCAAAAGAATGTTGTATTATAGCTTAAGTGGTCATCTTTTCTAAAGGTAAGTTGTTTCAAGTTGGCATTTTTTCTAACTGAACATTGATAAAGACTATGTTTGCAATGGTTTTGTTTTTGTTTTTTACTATCTATAATCTGAAACAATATACTTAAACAACAGCCTTTGGACAGTTATTTTTCCTTTCTTTGTGACTTGTTTATAGTGGATAGGTTTGCTGTCCTAAATGTTGGGTGTTTTGTTATAGTGTCTGCTTTGCATATTCATATGTCTCATTCATTGCAGTTGTGGTATCGCCTCCCATAGAAGAAAGCGACCAGAATAAACGCTACAAATCTACAAAACTTCAGGCCAAAGAGAGTCCATCTGCCTTTGGTTCACCAGTGTTGGAACAGGGCTCCTCTATTTTCCGGGAAAAATTCATCCCTCCTGAGCTCAGCATCTGGGATTACTTTATAGCCAAGGTATCTGTAGAGTGAGTGGGGGCACAATGTTTTGTGGGGGTTTTTTCAGTGCTTAGCGGGCGCACATGCTACCAGAGTACCCAGCAAAAACCAAAAAGCCAGCAATTATTTTATTGACTTTTAATTTTGGTTTTGTTAAAAGTATTGCCCACTGTCGTACAATATATAACACATTCTATCTGCATGCACACATTCCATACCAACGTGCATCTGAGCAAACAAACATATGTCTGCCACTTTAAAAAAGAAAATGACGTTTAGCTGCGTGTATTCTGTACAGAATTTGTTTAACCTTTGAATTCCGACATTGTTAATTGTTAATAGAACTGCCTGTGCAATTATGCTTCTGCATTTGTGCACTTCAGCAACTCTTTATGTAATAACTTGCTCATATCCTCACTTCTCTTCCGGCAACATGAGATGCCAACTAAAAGAAGTCTTATAGGGAGCTATAATTTTTAGTTTTATCCTTTTTTTGTTTTTTTAAGCTTATATATTTTTAAATTGATATTTTAGATCTTTTTATCTTAACCTTTTGTTTTATAAATACATTTTTTAATATGACCAAGGATTCTGAACGTGCTGCAGGTTAGGTAAATAGAGCACATAACAAAAGTACTTCCATTTCAGGTAGTCTTTTTTTTTTTTTCTTTTCTTTTTTTTTTTAAATTAAATCTGACATGGAGCCCTCTGATGAGGTGGTATGAGTTACTGCTTTGTATATATAAAAGAATATAAAATATGAATATGCAATTATTAAATGCACCTTTATTAAAAATTCATATGTACAATTTTTAGTTATTATCAGGCTGCTCCAAGCTTAGGAACAGCTAATAATAACTTTAGAGACTGATCCTGACAGCATGTCAGAATCAGATCTAAGGTCTTTGATCGTTCCTAGATGATCAAAACTGATACATTTCACTCAAGAGATACATTTTGTATCTAGTGGTTGAAATGTATCATTTAACATCGGGCCAGGCTCTCCAGCTGTCTGAATAGCAGAGAGGTGAGTCACTGCTACCTCTCAGTCAGATACGGGATCGCTATTTAGCGAACCCGTATCTGAATGTAAAGGCTTCATTCTTTCATTCATGAAAGAAAGAAGCTTTTAAAAAAGCTAAACTATTGCATTAATGAATGTCTCAATAGTGAGGCATTAATTAATGACTGGAACTGCTGAGAATCAGCAGTTACCAGCATTACAGAGGCTAATATAACTCGGCACGTACAGTGTACGTGGCCAGTCATATAGCCACTTTGTGACGGGACGTACACTGTACGTCTCCCGTCACGAAGGGGTTAATGTAGTTAACGCCCGGGGGGGGGGGGTTTTTTTTGTGTTTTTTTTTTTTTTTATTTTTAACACTCACACCCCACATTTCCCCCATCTAAATAATTGTCAGTTATTTCAGTAGTTTTACATTTTAATGAATGCCAATAATGTTTACTTAAAATTTAGCCCCTAAAGCTCCTTTATCTAATTTGTTTTATATACAACCATGTTGGTTTATAAAAAATAATAGTGGCTGCACTGGGCTTATAACGTGCGTCGACTGCATACTGTTATAGTGTAAAAAACATTCCTTGTTGATCCCCCTAGGGCAGTTGGTCATGCCATGGAACAACAATCTCTGGTGTTATTACCTAAAATTGTTAATATCCAGTTAGTCAGTGCAATAAGAATGCATCCAGTGTGTTTTTTTTTTTGTTTACAACAATTAACTGAATTGGCTAGAACTAGATCACATGATAACAGTTTTTACTGTGAAGACGCCTTTCCATATGTGAATTTAAAGTGTATTTGCACTTTTGAAGCCAAATTGGAATAATGCCTATTTGATATTTGTTACACGTCTCTCATAGCATATCTTTTTTTTATTCTTTAATAATTGCATGCACGTTACATGGCATATTCTGAAAGAAAAGTTGTTCTCTGTACTGAGTTTGGCTCTGGAATGCAAGGGGGGCTGAGCAGTTTATTGTTGCCGTAACCTCAAATGTTGATGTATAGCAAGCATTGGGTATGCGATACCCCCATCTGTACTGTGCTGGCAGACATAGTTTTTAGTTGTAAACCATATTTGATCAATGTTTGACTTAAACTCAGAGTGTCCCCAGTCTTTCTATGGGAACAGCCTTGGACATTGATACAGAAGCTTGCAAAGGCCTGATACACAAATACATCTAAAAGTGCAAAGTATTTTTTTAAAAATCAACTTTAGGTATGCTGTGTGAATGGAAACACAAAAGCCATATAGCTGTGTTTTCTCCAATTTGTCTGAAAGTGGAAATGCGCTTTAAACCTCTTTTCCTCCAGACACAAAGAGTGCCCCCCTTCACCTTTGTAGTGATGAAAGTCAGTAACTTCACACAAAGTTCCAAGTGTGTGAATGCTTTAAAATAATACACACCATTTATAATTTGGTCTTTTTTTCTTTTTCAGCCTTTCTTGCCTCTTTCACAAAACAGGCTTGAATATGATTCAGAGGACAGTCAAGGAAGCGATGACGGGGAAGATGATGGCTCTTTATCAGAAGTCCAGATCCAGGAACACTCAAATCCTAATTCGTATAGGTATAGCATGGCATTACAGGATGCTGATGATTAGAATTGGCCCACCACTAGACTACCTTTTTGTCTAATATTTTATACTCTAATAGTTTATACTTCTGCCTTTAGGAGGAATTGGACGCTGGCATTTAAAAAGGTAGTCAATCAGGCTTAACCCCTCGCACTCCCATCATTCTGTTCAGAGAAAAGTTTTTTACCATTTTTACTAGACATTTTTTTTTTCGTTTTCATAAACAATGTATTTTCTTCAACCAAGATTCATTGCTATGCTGCTGAGCTGGGTCACTATGCAGCTCTCTGGATGGGCTTCTCAGAAGCCCCTTGGAGGCTGTGTCTGGACCCCGTTGGACTGAAGATTGTGAGGCACTGTCAAGTTACCACTGGGCTCTGCTTGAGGTGCTCCCATGGCACCCAGCATACTGGTTTCTTAGCCACAGAGCACTTTATAGGTCCAGAGTGATGTCACTGGGTATGTACCATTCTCTGCATACTCACTCTGTGGGTATGTCCATGGACGGGGAAAACATAACCTGGAATGTGACATTTGGACACTGGGCTTTGCCCAGGGCAGCACGTTCTCTGGTACAACTATGCTGTGCTTGTTAGCTGTAGAGTGCTCTATAGGTACATCACTGAGGTGTCTACGGTCCTTCTGCTTCATTTCATGAACACAGCATACTTTTTTTTTTTTTTTTTTTTGTAGTTACAATATATTCTTGGTGTGTTTTTTAAAGTTGCCTTTCTGTAGGCAACATACAATATTCCTAATTCAGTGACCCTGGGGGCCACTCCAGCTCATGGCCCACTAACAACAAGATAACCTGTTTAGAACATTTGAGCATTGGGCTCTGCATTTGGCGCCTTCCTGCCCTGTGTGTATTGTGTTAGTTAGCCACAGAGCACTCTCCTACTCAAAGCACTTGTACAACCTCTGGTCTAACCAAGCCCCTGATGCCTATCCATGTATGTAAGACTCTACGTGAGACTATAAATCCTGATATACAGACCTGGACAAATTTGTTGGTTCCCTTACAAGTCATTGAAACAATGCTTCATTCCTTTTCAAAAGTGATAATTTAAAGCAATTGTTTCATGTATACCTGCAAACACAACAAAAGTGTGAAAAGAGATCAAATTTTGCTTAATCTACAAAGATATGCTAAAATTCCTTGGACATATCTGTTTATACCCCTAGGAAAGTGTATTAATAATCCTAGGGATATTTCAAACTAAAATTTTTCTGTCATTCGAATCACGCATGTCATCTGACTGTTAGTCAGTAAATGGGTAAAAGTAGTTATTCTGTTTGGTATGTGTGCACTACACTGAACATGGAACAGACAAAACAAAGGGTATGGTTCTTGGGAGTGTAGCCAACCTTCCTGGATGTTGCTACAAGATGAAAATAGACCCCAGATTGAACAGAAAGATATTGTGAATGGAGGACAAAGAGCGAAGGAAAGATTGAAGGGTTACAAGCTGAACTCCATAGTCAAAGTACATCAGTGTCTGATCACACTATATGATGTTGTTTTTTTGAGTGACAGTGGGCAGTAAAAGTAGGAGGAAAGTAGTAGAAAGAAGTAGGAAGAAAACAGTAGACAGCAGGAAGAAAACTCAGGAGAAACTCCACTATTGAAAGAAAAACATAATAAGTCTAGACTACAAAGACTAGAGTTTTCTAAAATGCATATTGAAAAGCCACAATACTTCTGGGAGAATGTCCTTTGGACAGCTGAGATAAAAACTGAAGCATGTTCACACATGAAAAAAGTTAAGCTTTTAAAGAAAAGAACACCATACCTACTGTGAAACATCGAGGAGGCTCGGTTATGTTTGGGTGCTGCTTTGCTGTGTCTGCCACGGGGTGCTATGCATATGTGCCGGGCACAGGTACTGGTTTAGCGCCATGTGTTTCTACGGTGCAGTCAGCCAGTCTCCCTGCATCATGGTAGCGCATGATGCAGTGTGAAAATTATACAGCACCCTGGTTGAGAAAGTTTGTTCGAGACACCACAATTTATGTATCCAGCTCATTTGCCCTTCCCTTCCTTTCTGGTGTCTCTCCACCTCGATCTGGTTTGCCCTGGATTATTTAGGTTCTTGCAGTGCTTAGTTATCCTCCGCCCTGTCTCTCTTCTGAGAGCTGGGGTCTACAAAGTCTCTACCACTCCGTTCCTGCTTTTCCCTTCCCAAAAGAGAAACTGACTATACTGGGTCCTTAAGTAGCTCTAGACTTCTATAGCACTTCTTTGGACTGTTATGTCCTCCCTAGTGCCTCCTTTATCTGGTTTCATCTATAGAGAACTCGTTGCAGACCTTCCTGTAGGTCAGTCAGTTACACATTATTCATACTTTGTGCAAGATGAGGATTCTGTCGTCTGCGATCCTATACCCTATCTGGACTTTTGCTCATTCTACAGTATTTCTCCATATCTATTTGGCCTCTCTCCTCAACTTTTGAAGAGTCTGGATTCTGGACTAGTCTATTGACTAGTCTTTTTGGTCCAGTTGCTATTGTTGGACTTGCCTGGTTGCAAATATTACTCTCTTATGGGACCATCTTATCAGAAGTATCCTTGAGTTTAATTGCTGTCCGGCTTCACGTGTTTCCAGGGAATTGCTCCTTGGTCTTTTTTCGATGTTGATCTCCTCTACACTGCATCTGTGAGCTGCTACTTATTCTCATCCAAGAAGATTTAGGAACTTTTTAGATTGTAAGCTCTCATGGACAGGACCCCCCTAACCATCTTGTCTTGAACTGTATTGTAACTGCAACATTTTCCTTATCTTGTAAAGCACTGCACAAACTATTGGAGCTATATAAATCCTGTATTATAATAATATTGACTTCCCTTGCTATACTGGATGAGCTTCTTCCTCAGTTGGTCTTCCTCCTGTATTACCTTCATGTTGTACTAGCTCCATATTGTCTTGGTATTTTTTCTTTTCTTATGACTGACCTATATATCCATAGTCAAGTGGTTTCTCTTGTATGTGCCACCTTCTTCCTCCTGAAGAAGCATACTTCTGTTACTAGCCCTGTATTTCCCTGGATTCCAATGACAATCTTATATTGTTACCCTGCTATGGTTCCCCATGGGGATAGGGCAATCTCGAAGGCCCCTCGTAGCACCTGCTGTGTAGAGGATGTTTCTTCTACTGTTCTAAGTGTAATCCCTTTGTGGAAGATTCTTTAGTTTCCTCCACCTCTTTGTTCCTTACTGTTCTTTCTTCCTAACCCCTTTTTGTACACAGTGGTTGTTGATTTTTCGTACCCTTTCCCTATGAAGGGTTCCTGGGTAGGACTATTGAAAGTTTTTAGCATATTTCTTGCCAAGGTATTTTTCTACCTGAAAACAAGGTGTAGGATTATCCTATTGATCCTTAGCATTCTACTTGACCTTCCTCTAGCCATCCCTGCTCTGTCCTGTAAGAATATATAAATGTATCTAATCTTTATCATAATTGCCCGTGCATTCGATTTATCACTGGTTTTAGTAATGACTTAATAGCTAGATCTGAAAGTAGAAGTATCGGAAATGGCCTGGTGGGCCGGATTCGGCCCCTGGGCCTTGAGTTTGACACATGTGCCTTAACACAACCGTTGGGCATCCTAAGCTTTGCTGTTGTCAAAATGATGTTTTGCTATTGTACACATTTTTCTCTTTTCTTCTATTGACCACATTGCTACTTGGACCTTTTTCTCCGACCTTCCAGGTGTTCTACCGGTCCACCTTTTTTGGTGAACTGTTACTTTATCCCTAATTGTGTAAGGCCCATATTTGTTAGGTACATTTTTTTTTTCCTTTTTAAATATGTTTGGTGATCTGATTTGTAACCACAGGTTTCTTATTTGGTACTCTTTCCTTAGCCACGGCTCTTCTCTTTAGATTGGCCTTTGTTCATCTAGCCTTTTATTCATAACTTCTTATAAGCTATGAGTCATATAAATTCCACGTTGCTTGTCTGTCTCTGCTTGCTCACTCCTCGCTCACTCCTCACTTGGACAGCTTTTAGACATCCCCGTGTCCCTTAATAAACAATAAAGAAAAACGAATTTCTGTACTTTAAATTTGTTTTTTGAAGTTCATTAGGGATACATATCCACCCATGTTTGTCTGTGATCTTCTCTATCTTTATTACTTTGAACTGAAGCATGTTGGGAGAGGTTATACCTGATTGGCCAACATATTCGTTGCTTGCCAGTGTCCTCTTCCTCCTAAAGGTAGCAGTATAACCCATTTGTCTTTGATATGCATCTGATCCTGTGTCCCTTTAAAGAACTAAAAAAAATAAACTGATTTTATAGGAAGTACAAACATCATGTTATTTCAATATACAGCCCTTTTTAACTCCTTCCCTTCTCTTTATTGACATTGTTTTAGCTGTAAATGTTTGGGTTACTTTCTATTGTGTAGGCATTTAACAGAAAACACACACACTTTTTTGGGGGGTTACATTTTAAAGCTTTTATTTTATTTGTACATAATCTTTGTATCAGAAACATAATTGTGGTTTTCATTGCCCTCTGATACATGGGAAAGCTGGGATTATTGCAATCTATTGCCCTTTTTTAAAACCTCATTATAGGGATTCTGATGAATGGTGCTTAATAAATCGACATAGTAATTGTTTGTTGTTCATGCCAGCTTGTGGTTATGTACACGTTTTTAATTCCTTGAGCCTAACATATGCCATTTTTACCTTTTCAGCTGGGCTCTGATGCGTCTTGCAATGGTACAATTTGTCCTTCAGAATTTGAAAGGTTTTTACCCATTGGCTGGACATGAACTTTCAGGTAAGTTTAGAACTGTTTCTGCTGTATAAAAATTAAACCCATCTTTGTGTATTACTGCTCAGATGGGTCCTAATGGGTAATATTATATTTTTGTTTTACCTCTTAATGCTTGCTAAACTAAAGTGATATTAAAGCCTATTGTTTTTTACATTTCTCCTTTTAAGGAGACCCTCCTTTGCTGGAGGATTTTGCTCTTTTTCTTTAAAAGTTTCTAATTCCTCGTTTTCTAGTGGCTCCCTGCAGCGCATCCCCCCACCCCCTGCACGGGTGCCACCATCGTACTAAACTGTATATTCTAAAGATGCCGAAGTTCTTACTCTAATCTTCTTGCCAAGGGTGCATCAGCCATTCCTCATAGATTTTATTGGTATGATTGTGGCAGAAAAAAGGTTTCAGTCCCATGATAACAAAGCATAAGACTGGAAAGCTTGGAGCAAACTTTGTACAGAGAAGGTGCACCTAAAAACAATACTCTTAGTTTGAATGACCATTTTTCCTGTAGCTGAACTGGAAACGAGTAGTAGTCATTGTCTTTTTGATTCTTACAGATCTTCCTGTAGCCTCACCCCTCTGTCATGCCACCCTTAAGACCTTGCAGAGGTGGGAACAGGTGCTCCTGCGAAGGCTTCAAATATTTGGCGGTCCACCACAAGATTTTATTACCATGCCAAGTACAGAGGATGCTCTATCTGCTGGACCTGCAATCTTGAGACACAAAGCATTGCTGGAGCCAACAAATACACCTTTCAAGTTAGTATTCCTGCAGCTAAATGCTCCACAAAAATGAAAATATTAGGGGTAGGTGTGCATGAGGTGGCATTGACTTCTCCTGGTACACATGGCACACTTTATTTCTTTCCTGATTTATTCCTTTGCTTTGTTGTCTATTTTTGCATCTTTCTATTTTTCCTTCTGTTTTCTCTTGTGTATCTGCTCTTGTGTCCAATTTGCACTTGTGTTTCACTCAGAATGTCTGTCTTTTTGCTTTCGTGCCTTCTTCGTATGTGTCACCTTGCTTTCGTTACTTTGTATGCTGGGTTTTCCATATCCCTGCTAATGTGTCTTCTGCATCTTCTCACCATTTTTTGTTTTTCTACTTCTGTCTGTCTTTCCCGAGTGTTCTGAATGTCACGATGGATGGCTTCTCCTACTCCTACTGCTAAGAAGTGAGCAGTGTAGCCTGGCAGGCATTGGGTGCAGCTGCCCATTTGCTTCCAGTGGTAATCCTTTAATACTAAAGTATAGTTGAGCCTCTGATCAGGCCCCATACTGGCCATATAGGCTGCTACACCTTTAGATAAGCCCCTGGCTGTTATGGAGCACATACTCTACGTAGTATACGCAAGAAAAAACAGGAAAATACTAGTCTACAAGGTATCCTCGAACTCGTACAAAGATTTGTGGATTTTGGTACACACTGACCATAAACATAACACAACTGATTTTTTTTTTTAACAACTTATTTAAACTGCATGCAGTGTGTGTGTGTGTGTGTGTGTGTGTGTGTGTGTGTGTGTGTGT